ATGGGCAGCGTTCCATTTTCCACCAGGTTGTTAGCATCTTGAGACTGCCTGTTATCTTGGTTTTCATTATTGCCATCATAGTGTTGAGTATCATCTCTCTGTCCATTTGTTTCCCTGCTGCCTTCTACTGCATGCCCATTTCTAGATGAAACCTCACTTGGATCACTGTTGTTTGCTGAACTTGAGTTATTCTGCTCTGACTGTACGTCCGGTAAGCGATGACCACCTCTTTGCGCTTCTGAGTTAGATTCAGTTTCCATTAAAGAACTCAGTTCTCCAAAGCCTGTCATAATTTGTCTAAGGATTGATCGAAGAGCCACTGATGAAGGTTCACCAAGCCCAGTTTCTGAAATCCGACGAAGAGGTATCCGTATAGTGCTAACGTAGGTTCGAATACCTGCACGTTCTGATCGCGATATCGTACGCCGAAATCCCCCACTGTCACTTTCAAAGGTAACTGTGTTTTCTGCCATTCCTACTCTAGAACGAGTTCTACTGGCAATACTGTCCCGATCTCTGTTTTCTCCAGGACGAATTCTTCTCACCTGAAGATCTAATGTAATTGTTGGATGCCTTCTAACAGCAGCTACTGGCCTACTAGATTCCTCCTCTTCCAAAGTTATCCCCAAGGATGGGGCTACACTGGAAAGCTGAGGAGTCTGAGTGTTACCTCTTGCTTGTTCTTCGGCAGGCTGTGGAGAAGGCTGAGCTGTTTGTCTTCTACTTCTGTTGACTTGCTGTGCATTCCTATCCTGCCTCTGCCCATGTTCCTCAGAACGAGCAGTATCGCCTTGCCTTTGCAGCGGAGAGCGGCTTCGACTACTTAAAGTAGACCGCAGCCGGAGAATTTCTAGTCTTTGGTTTGTACTCATCCGAACACTAGTTCTAGCTCTACCTCTTGTGACTCCTGTAGAAGTACCTCTTTCTGGCATTTCTCTTTGTTCACCAGCAGCTGCAGAATTATTACGTGTAGTGCTTGTTTGGGAAAGGCCTGTCAACTCCCTTGTTCTACTCCTGAGCCTCCCTGAGACCGGTTGAGACGTTGCTTCAGAGCTTTGTGCCACGGAACTTCTTACAGACCTGGTCCTTGCAGTGCTTGAAGCCTCACTGTTTGCCTCTCTTGCAGTCCTGCTCCTCGTTCGTGGGGTTACTGGACTGACAGCTCTTTGATGTCTTCTTTCTAAATACATTCTGCTACTATCTATACCCACATACTCCTCACCAGCATTTTCAAAACTGTTATGTTCATGATTTATGTTGATTTCAAGACTAAAACGGAACTCCCCACTATTTGGGTTTGTTCGACTCACGGCTCTCCAGGTTTGGTTCCCACTCTGTCCACTGCGAGTGGCATTTCCTGTGCGACGAAATGTGTTCAGCCATTCAAGCAACGAATCACCATTAGAGTTTTCTCCAAGAACATCAGAATCTGAGAGAAACAAAGAATTGCAAAAATTCATACAACTGCATGGTCAGCATACTATGATGCACTCCAAATCCTCTATGCTTGCTGGGCCCTGACCTCAGAAATGTTACAGTAGCGGGACAGCTACCTTGCTGTGCTAACGTAATTTTGCTGAAAAATATGCCGTACGTAAAAATGTCAGCAAAACTCACCAGTTTAACCTAGAATTTTTGTCTCACCAGCAGATACACAGAGAAATGAATATGCCCAGATGGCTTCTTCTGAGAAAGTGTTCAGATTTAGGTAGTCCAAAGTTAGTTGCATTTGTCCAGTATCTGTCCCTCGCTTAAGCTATCAATTTGAAGGTATCCTGGTCAACTAGTTTTGATAAAGCAAGGAAAAGTATGACAGATTTTGTCTTCTTTTTGGAAAACATTTTAAAAAATTGTTTTCTATAAGCAGTGGAATAAATGATGCATGGTTTTGACAGATTTGCTCCTTTTGTGCAAATATACTCTTTTCCTACTACAATATCCACAGCTCCATTCCCAAATCTCCTCCAATTACAAGCTCAAGAACAGACACAATTGTTGTGGTTAGTGCTAACTACGTGTATAAAGCAAGCCAGTGGTCATGACCACAGCAAAGGTTTTCCCTTGAAGGGATCAGATAAAGCTCTCCCTACTCCATCACCTCCCTGCTTTCATGAAACCTGCAAGAATTTTGGTATCTTTGTTTCCGAGCTGCCTGCTCCTGTCCTAAATCTGGCTAGAATTGGCCAAATGATTAAGCCAATATTGCTGGGGAAGTGAAGACAGACAGTGCACATAATACAAGCCTCACTCCATTAAAACAAATGGAAACGAAACAACAAAAACAGCAAAACAGTAGAGAGGTTAACTGTTTGCCAATTAACTTCTTTTCTGTTCCAACATCTCTAATATATGATAAGACCTTTTAAGAATTAGAAGAATGAAAATTATTTTTGTGCTATTATGTTTAATAGCAAAGGGAAACCAGGAAAAGAAGAGAAAGTAATTTGTGGCTGACATAAATCAGTTTTCATGAAGTATTTCAAGTTTGTTTTTGTATCATCAGGAAACCTCTCTTACTTTTAAAACAATCCACAGAGGCACAATGAAAAAACAAGACTTGAAATGGCCGGTACTGAAATCCATCAGCATTTCTCTTGAATATCTGTACAGAACAGTATTTATGCATCACGTACTATGTGTATCTATATATATGAATGAAGAATGTTTACTCCAACAGTTCTACCTTCACCTTCTCTGTTATCCAGATCAGTCTGTGATGCCGGACGCTCCTTAGCCCCCTCCAAGCGTTGCTGCAATTCTTCTGCTGTTATTTCTCCTGAAATAATTCACATTTTGATAACGCTGTTAGATAAGACATTATTATTGGCTCAACACAGCCATGCAGAAATAACAATATTTTCTATCTTGAAGGAAAATCTTCAGAAATAAGGTACAATGAATGAAACCAAAAAGAAAACAGCACCAGCGTGAGACCGTAACGCAGGTGCACAGATAACAGAGGAAGTAGGTACTGGGATGGAGGAAAAAGAGATGCTGAATGTGTGTCAAGAGCATGCCAACTTCCAGTAACAACTCAGAGGCCCCCAAAATTGCCACATACCAACAGATACGCTTTAGCGTACCAGACATTAATTATTTGGGTTTGGATACTACCTATATACGGAGGTGTTGCATTTGAAAGAGTTAGATAGATACTAAAGCTGGAATAAAAATGTAAGTTGTTAATTTTTACTGAATATCATAAATTTTGAAGGGAAATGGAGGGGTTTTTTTCCTTTCTACAAAGCCACAGGCGTCAGGCTACTTGAGTCATACAACCACATGCGATGCCTGACAGCAGGAGTGCTACTTGACATTACATCTTTTCTACTGAAGGTATCCACATCTTACCAGGAGTGCCAAGCAGGTTGCGGTCCCTCATTAACCTGTAGTCTTCTTCATTGAGTTCATTAATGAACTGGTAATAGGCCTCCTCCCTACTGAGGCGCTCCAGCTGTCGTTGTCTCTCGTCTTCACCATGACTATGCTCTCGTGAAGATGCCTGCTCATTGCCATTCCCTGCACGGTGCCGAGAGCGATCCATAACGATAATGCCAGGCTGTCCTGAACAAAACCAGAAGGTTAGACAGCACAGTAATTACAGTAAGAATTTACCTAATTTACTTGAAAAGTAAATTGAAAAGTTCCAGTTTATTAATAGCTAAAGATGATTAAGATGAACCAAGCTCCACGTTGTTTGCCAAGTCAACAGTGTAGTTTATTATGCAAGTATTTTGCTTCTAGCTTACTCAAAAATAGCTAGAAGTCCCCTTTGCTCACTGAAAGGACATACCAGGTGGTACAGCAACTTTAAAATAAAAAAGCAATGACAGATTTTTTTTTTTTTAGCTTAATAAGGATATTCTAGAAAGTTAAAGGAATAACATAAAATCTATTTCCCTTCTCCCTAGTAAAATACAACAGCAGCATGGAGTATTTTAAAAGCTAAAATGCCACTAAAAACATTGTTCTCCAATTATTGGGCTGTAATTACCCAGTGTAGACTTCCGACACTCACAGCTACTGCTTTATAGAAGACTATCTTCTACTTGAAACATTGACTGATAAGCAGGTAAGACTACATTAGTACCTCAGTCGGTACCACCCCTCACATAGCACAAAACCTACAGATACATTTTTGGCGGAACTGACTCTTTTGACATTTTGACATCACTGGTATATTTTCCTTGTGATGTCTAATCCAAGGATTAGCTAAGAAAAGGATACCCATCTCCAGGAAACCGGTGTAAAAGAGGAAGGGCTATACTTTACCCACAGTTTTTCAATACTTTCCAAATATTTAACCAGTGGGACCACACTATTAGAAGGCATGAATAACCTTCCAGTATCAGAAAGAGGCATCATCTCTGTTGATTTCTGTGCCATTACCAGCTCTCTCTGGCCCAGGACTGAGCCCTAAGCAATCGGCTCTCAGACCACTCCCCAACTTTTCTATTTCCTAAAGTAAACCTGTTCTTCAACACTCAATTTGAAAGAAGAAAAAGCAAAGTGTCATCCTTTCAATGGGGCTTCCTGTTTGGCAAAAGCCATCTGTAATACCTGCTGAGGCAGGCACCTGACAGAAGAGATCACTTCTCTAAAGAGGAGATCACCAGGCCAAAAAACCAACCATATGACACCATTCTGCTCATGTGTGAAAAGAAACACTTTGGGTAAACACTTTTTTTTTTGTCAATTCACCAACATATCAAAGTCACTTCAAGTATTAATTATGGGGAAAACACAGAACAGTATTCTCAGCACACTCCCCATCAGTAATTAGTCTTCACAGGAAAGGTGACGGGACAACAAACAGACCAAACCAGCTAACTATTAGACATACATTCAATAAAGAGTAAATCTTTATCAATGCTGCCAACAGATACGAAGAATCAGAAAATGTATTTGCCAACAGCAGAAGCTGGCATACATTTAATATACCTTTCTTACGTTGTTTGTGGGATCCATTCTGATGCATCCTTGGTCTCCTCATTTTCCACCCCATATGCTACTTCCCCCCCCCCTTGGGTAACTCCACTTCTAAACAGCCCTTCCCAATCTTATCACTCATCTGCCTCCTGTGTCCAATATTGCATTTCAGTGTATTTAACGCTTCCCTCCCAGCTCTTTAACTCACTTAACTGAAAAGAAATCAAATCTGAATATCTCCCCTTCAAGACATTTTCTATTCCCGTAGTATTTGTGCAGGTTTTAAATTCACTATTGCCCTCTTGGCTCAGCCTCACAAGCTGTAGGTAATCACTGACTTCCATTTCCCACAAGGCCTATGTTCAAACCAGGTCACTTTTCATATCACATTTCTAAACACAAATTTCTCAGCCAGCTCTTTGTCTTACTACCCGGGTTTCCTCAAAACAAATGCACTTCCTCCCCCCTCAGCACACAGTTAGCACTATTATTACCCTGATGACACCCATCACTTGGCTATTATAATGAAAATGCCCAATCCATACTGCACTGAATATTAAAGGGCCTCTGTCCCAGTTGACTTACAACTTGAGACAAACGAAGCAGGGAGGGGAAATAGGACAGGTAAAATTAATTTAGTTTCACGTAAGGTTGCTATTTAGATGAAAGCCTTAAAACAACTAACGGTGTTCCTGTTTGCCTGACGATGACCATAGTAAGTTAGCCAAATTTCTGGATATATCGCCATATTACTGCACAGAAAAAGTGACATATAAATTCTTAAGATGAAAAGTCCATCACATGTAGTCCCCCTCAATCTAAATTTAAACGGTTGTTCGAAAGAGAGGTTCTTTACTTTTTACTTCTCATCCACAGAAAATCTGGAAATCTCTTCTTCAGATTTTGTGGGTGGTAGAAAAAAATTACTGTTTTGTTGACAACTGTATGGTAGGATGATTAGTCACACTCTCTAAGTGACTCACTTCGAAACAGTAAGAAGTGTGAAGTGTTCAGTTGTCCCATCTGTTTAACATAACTGCATGGATGACAGCTACTATCCATATTTATCAAACGCCATCAAAAGCAAGTACCTTGGCACTTAAAATGTTTCAGAGTAGTGAAAGTTGAAGGGTATTAACTGCATCAAAATGAAGTACTTCAGCACGTAAAACATTTCAGAGTATTGAAAAGTTGAAGAGCATTAACTGCTAAGATGTAAAAAACTGAAATTGAAATCCAGTTATGACTCAGGATTACTCTTCCTTTGCAAAGACACAGGTGACACGTGCCAACAGTTCATCTACGTTTTCTAGAATCTTCAACCTAGGACTAACTCCTTTCGTTCTTAATTCATAAGTTACTCCAGCCCATTCTCGAAGATATACGTTCATCTTTATCTACGCGATATACACCTTATGCTTTTAAGTTTTGGCCTCTTTCCATGAATTACTACCCCCAATTCAATTAGGTATTCATTTTCTGAAAGACTACCACCTGATTGCAAGCAAGACGACTATGGAGTTGAGATGAGGAAGCCTCCCCGAGCGACAGGGCTGTTTAGCATTTCTGTCACATTGCAGCCTCTAGGCGAGATGATCTCACCGAATTTGAGGAAGGAAAAAAAAGAAGAAAAAGGAGGGAAAAAAACCAACCCAGAAACCCCCCCAGAGCCTGGGGAAGGAGGGGAGGGGGAAGGAAAGACAGACAAAGGAGGACTCAGAAGGTAATTAAGAAACAGGCCGCAGGACACCCGAAACGAACCAAGCCCAGGGCCTGGGGCCGCCCGCCTCCCCCCAGCCCCCAGGCCGGCAGCAGGGCCTGCAGATCCCAGCCCCGCGCCGAACTCACGCTCTCCGGCCCTTCCCCGAGGAAGGCCACGGGCCGGGCTCTGCGCCCACGGGGCAGGGCAGCCGGGGGTTACCCGGGGGGAGCAGGG